GGCTCAGTAGACTGAGCACTGGCCTATAAACCCAAAAGTCACTGGTTTGATTCCCGGTCAGGGCACACACATGGGCTGCAGGCTGGCTTCTCCCTCTCTTCCCCCATCTCTCAAAAAATAAATAAAACGCTTAAAAATAAATAAATAAAATGGTTTTCCTTTTATTTTTTCTTTCTCTTTCTTTCATTGTGCACCAAATTCCTAAAGACCAAAACTAGATTCCTAAAAGTACATGCATTAACGTTAATGCCGTCAAGAAGAACTGTTGAACACCAAAGCAAGCGTGAGCACGAGAGGGTTCCTACCTTCAATTATATTAGGATGTGCTCAGCTCTAGGAAAATGCTTATCCTGTAGCTAAGTACCGGTCAGGGAGGGGTGATCTTCAGACCATGCCTCAGAGTCATGAACATGACCTTTGGGCCCTGACTGGTGTGGCTCAGTAGGTTGGGTGTCATCCTGCAAACTGAAAGGTAGCCAGTTCGATTCCCAGTCAGAGCACATGCCTGGGTTGCCAGCTAGGTCCCCAGCTGGGGGCATGTGAGAGGCAGCCCAACGATGTTTCTCCCCTTCTCTTTTTCCCTCCCTTCCCTTCTCTCTAAAAATAAATAAAAACAAATCTTTTAAAAAATGACTTTTTGGATTGGGATGCTGGGATCAGTGACTTGAATCCAAGGAGTTCCTTGGGGAGAGAGGGGTCTTGAACTCCACATAATCTCCATGGAGCCACACATCCAAAAGCCACCCCGAATAAGTACACAATATAAGGAAAACCAGTGGGCTTGTTATACAAAAGCAGTCTCAAACAGAGCACCCCTGGCCACCCTTCTGGTCAGCTGACTACCCTAAATATCCCCTAAGTACACCAGGTCAAAGTCTCCAACCCACCTTCAACTAAAGACTGTCCAGTATGCCTGTTTGGTGTATCACGCTCAGGGATAATAGTTTCGTCAAACAAGAAAGCCCAGAGGCAGGGAAAGTGGTAAAACAGCTTTGTACCAGGCATCAGAAGACCTGGGGTCTGGCCTAGACCCTGCCCTTAGCTAAAAGATGGGCAACTAACTGAACCTTGTGCAACTCTATTCTCCGCAAAGTGAAATGGCTCAACTACAGATCACCTCTAAGAGCCCTTCTGAGTCTAAAATTCCAGAATCTACATCACCAAATGTTTCAAATGAAAACAGTGGCTACTATCTATCTCTTTATGACCAACTCTCAGCCCCCAGAACCCTTTGCTGAGCAGAGCTTTCCAATGGGCTTATTTATAAGAACATAAATGAGGAGACTATTCTAAAGAAATTTTTAAAATTAAAATTAATCCAAGGGATGTTACTTATCATTCTTTATTCTGAAATTAATGTCTGAAACAGGATTAAACACCAACACTCTGTCTAGATTATAGTTCAGCTTTCTTTTCTTTATCTCCCAGAGCTGTTCTTTCCTGGGACTAGGAGACATTTTATGAGTGAAAATAAGGCCAGAGGAATAGTAGAAACAGTACTCTCTATAATAATTAAAGAGCAGTTGATTTTATGTTTAGTTAGTAGCGCTGACTTTATCTGTTTTCAAGAATTATATTTTGCTTTTGCTGGAGTAAATACTAATGACAGGCAAAGAAAAGAATAAGAAAAAACAAATAATGATGTGTACCATGGCTCTGGTTCTGGCTTGGCTATTAATTAGTTGTGTGGCCTGGTGCACACTACTTAATCATTCTGCATCTCAGTTTACTTGCCTGCAAAATGTAGGTGACAACACACCAGTCCCCTTTACACTCCCTCCACAAGGAGTTAAATGGGATAAGGCCATGCATAACACGCAGTGTCTGTTCTCTCAATGACTCTCCGAGACAAGGCATTTGCCTCATTTTTACAAATATGGACACTGCTACTGATTAACTGTGACAGTTAAACAGAAATAAGTTCCAGAAGTTCTGTAGATCTATGAATGCAGCCTAAAGCCAATCAAGAGTTGAAACAAATTAAGAGTTCCCAAAGACTACCTAAACTGGACCCAAGAAGAAACATACCAAGGCACATCATCATTACATTAGCCAAGATTAAAATGGAGAAAATCCTAGAAGCAGCAAGAGCTAAGGGGACAGTCACCTACAAAGGAGTCCCCATCAGGCTGTCAGCAGATTTCTCAAAAGAGACCTTACAGGCAAGAAGGGGCTGGAAAGAGGTATTCCAAGTCATGAAATCCAAAGACCTACAACCAAGATTGCTCTATCCAGCAAAGTTTTTATTTAGAATGGAAGGGCAGATAAAGTGCTTCTCAGATAAGATCAAATTCAAGGAGTTCATCATCACCAAGCCCTTATTATATGAAATGTTAAAGGGACTTACCTAAGAAAAAGAAGACAAAAAAGATGAACAGTGAAAGGACAGCAAACTCACAGTTAGTAACAACCACACCTAAAACAAAAGCAAACTAAAAGGACAGCTAGATCAGGAGCAGAACCATAGAAATGAAGATCTCAAGGAGGGTTAGCAACAGGGGAGTGGGAGAAGGAGAAGGGGGGAGAAGGTACAGAAAATAAGTAGCATAGACAGTAGATAGAAAATAGATGGGGGGGCAAGAATAGTATGGGAAATATAGAATCTAAAGAACTTGAGACACATGGTCATAAACTAAAGGGGGGGTAATGGAGACGGGGGGTAGGGTGGAGGGGAATGAAGGGGGGAATAGAACAACTGTAATGGCATAATCAATAAAAAATAAATTAATTAAAAATAATAATTAGAAAAAAAAAGACTACCTAAACTGGTGGAAATTGTCTTCTGTGAAGACATCGTTAAGCTGCTTTTCAATTTTTCAATGCTCAGGTCAGTAGGGCACAGTGCAAAGGAAGACCATGATGATTGTGGGGTTTACTACCAGTCAGTCGGACTCTCGGGGCCTAACCTCTGGCAAGCCAGGTGGGCCTAGCCAAATCCATCACCTGATGGGTTCCACCTGAATCCTTCCAGTTGGAAAGCTCTGCCAACCTAAATCGCACTCCTGCTTTTCCGACAAAGTAGAAAACTGCTTCAGAGGATGACCTTACAGACACTGAATCATGCTTTAGTCCAAATGAATTATACGTTAATTAAGTTATAATTATACATTATGTTACAGGTGGAGTCTGATTTAATTTGCCAATTAACAAAGGAAGGACCTCCACCTAACCACTCAATGTTACTACCTCACCAGGAAGTGGTGGGTACTTAAGTACTAGGGGGAAAAAAAAGTGGGGAAAGGAGTTTTGCCTGCATTTTCAAGAAAGCCGGAGAAGAGAACCAACCAGACTAAAGAGATTTTACAGATCATAGAGAAGATTCTAGAGCTGGTTATTTCCCTATCACCTATACTTTGGAGTATTTCATGCAGTACTAACACGGCACCTAGATCCCAATTCCTGTCAATGAATAAAGTCATCAGGAGGGGACTGGGTAGAAGCAAAGGCACCAGCAAGCTGAACTACTCCAGCTCAGCTGCCCACCGAGCAGGGTGATCTCCACCCTTTCTAGAAATACTCCAGTTAACCAGTTTCATTCCTTTGCCTTCTTCACTCTCCAGAGGGCTGAGTGGTGCTTCACCACTCCACCTACACAGTCAGGATGCTCCCCACCAAAACTCTGCCTACCCACAAGGCCTCCACCCTTCTCGATCTTGCTCCAGTGCTATCTCCTCAGATGCCAACAAACTGCAACTTTCAGTTGGTCATTAGGGTGGGGCCTCGCTGATAGTTTCCTGGCAGCCAGAGTCCCTGGGATACATTTTGTGCACGCAGAGCTCCTCTGATCTTGCCTTTCAGTGTAGGCAGGTGGGCCTTGCCTTAACACTTGCTCCAGAGACAAATGAAGACAGCCCGTTGGGTGCACAGCCTGTTGTTGGTTAATTATCTTTTTTCTCTCCCAAAGCACGCATCGCCTTCCACAAAGTAGTGTGGCTCAATAACACCTGATACATTAAGGGGACGGTATTTAAATGCATATACAGTTGGGGGTGCCGATTTCCTTTGTGTTACCATACCAAACCACACTAGTGAGTTTCATATTGCCTTGATTGGCTTCCCGCTCCCTCGCCGTCCCTAGACAGACGCTAACTAAGCAATGGTGAAATCACCAACAAGGTCGGCAGATAGGGCGAATTAAAGGAAGCCGAGGCCTGAATAATCCTCATTGAGTCATCATTTCCTGAGTGATACAGACTGCCGCTAGGAGGGACTGGACCTGAGCAGCGCGCGCGGAGAACGACCCCCGCCGCTCGCCCAAGCTGCTGCTACGGGACCCCAGGGCCTGACCCGCACCCACGTGCTGGAGCGCCCTCCAGTGGCCGCGCCGCAGCCCCCGCAGCGCGCCGCTAGCCTGCAGACCAAGCTCCCCGCGGCAGAGGAAACAGGAGACGCACAAAGTTTCCGAGTCAGGCGGTTTGCTAAAGGTCGAAGCCTGGTACTGGAGCCTGGATGCGAGGGCGTGGCGGGAGCAGCACTCAGGCTGGCGGCCAACGCAAGAGGTCCGGGCCCAGACGGACCCCCATGGTTCCAACTTATCTCCCAACAGGGCTCAGGGCCTCTAGGTCCCGAGGGCATAGGGCATCTCCCCGCACCAGGACCTTACAGAGAAGGGCGGGAGGGGAGCCTGGGCCCTTGCCAGACCGGGACGACCCCACCCCCACCCCCCAGCTACCAGCGCGTGTCTGGGGTTGTTGGGTTTGCTTTATTCATTTGCTTAATTGGAGAAATGCACCGACTCCCTTTGGCGTATTCTGATCCCCAGTAATGAGGATTCTGGGTGCCCCCAAAGAGCCCACCTGGAGTTCACCGCCCCACCCAACGCCGCCCTCCCCCCCCAGGGTGATAAGTGGAAACAGCAATTCCCCTTCCTCCCTCCCCTCCAGACAGGTTTCCCTGCTGCCCGTAGTGGACTCGCCGACGGGGAGGCAGCAGCGGGGATACGCGGCGCCCCGGGGCGGGGGGCCGGGAGCGGGCGAGGCCCGGCCCGGGGTGGCGCTTACCTCTTCCACGGTGAGCGGCATGCAGATCCGGTACTCCTTCAGCAACATGGTCCTGCCGGCCACTGTCCCTCAGGGCGGAAAGCGGGGGACGCCCCCCAGAGCAACAAAGCTGCCGCCCAGGCGCAGGGCAGGGAGCCCGGAGCCCGGCTCTCGGAGCGGCGGGAGAACGAGCTCCGGCGGCTGCGCTCAGCTTCTGGCTTCCTCCTCCCCGCCCGAGACCATGTCAAGGTTTGGGTCCGGGTGTTCGCGGCTCCCCCGCCTCCTTCCCCGCCGAGGCCGGTCCTCCTGGAACGCGGTGTTGCAAAGTCAGGGAGGGAGCCCCGCTGGAAACCTCTCTGATCCGCAGCCGCGGGCGGTAGGAGCGGCCGTCAGATCAGGACATGCCCGGTGGCGGGCGAGGGAGGGAAAAAGAGAGATTTCCAAAAATTAAAACGAATGCACAAAAGTCACTCGCTCGATCTGCCTCTGAAACCAAACATGAACCTGACGACCCCCTTCTCCGGCCGGTCCTCCCAGAGCCGACTCACCAGGAGCACATTGCAGCCGGGGATGCTGACTTTCCAGACAAAGGCTCGGAGGGCTCCGCTCCCCGGGCGGTAAACAAGATTTCCTGCTCTTTTTAGGGCCGGTCCCCGAGACGCTCCGGAGCTCGTTGGGGTAGAAAAGGGAAGCCGCCACGGCCGCCCGGCTCTGTTGGGCTGGGGCCCGGGTTCCTCCAACCTCCACTCACACTGCGAGGGGCGGGCGAGAGCTGGCTGGCGCCTTCCGCGCGTCTCCTCCCCCGAATCCCTCGGCTCCCCGAGCGCCGTGCGTGCCCGCGAGTTTGCAGCCACCTCGCGGGGGCCGGAGAGTCCGCGCCGAGCCGCAGTGTGCCTCGGGCCGGGGAGGTGGGTGCGGGAGGAGCCAGCGCCGGCAGGGCTGACATCAGCAGCGGCCGCGGCGGGGAGCCCCATCCGGCCAATGGGGAAATGGCAAAGAATGTGGAGGATTTAAACAAAACAGCATGTCTCTCCCGGGCTGCTGCCAGACAGCCTGACCGTAGCAGGGTAAGATCGGAGAAGGGGGCTTCCCTAGACTCCTGTGCACTTTGAACCGGTTCTCCAACGAGCCCTGAGTGCCACGGCGCTCCGTGCAGCCACTCTGGGAAACTTCTGGTTCCAAGAAACAGAAGTGCTCCTTGACCTTTGGCAAAGGTCTTTACAAATACCCATCACGAGCATTTTCACTTCGGTTCAGTAAGCAAGTCCAGCGCTGTGGGATTTGAAAACAAACCTTTGCCTGCTTTCCTAACTGGCTTCAGAAAAGGAGTCCTGCAAAACTGGTCAGTGCAGCAGTGTGCGCGAAAGGGAAGCGTGAACACACACCAAGCAGAGAAAAGAGGGTGGGCGCGCAGCTTCCCACCGCTCCAGGCCCCACTGCTACGTAGTCTGACGGCGGGCTTCGCAGAGCAGCGAGAACAGGTTTTCGGGTCAGCTCTCCTAAGTTCAAAAAGTCACAGTGAAATGTCAGTGGAAATGCCTGGAGTGTTGGTATTTCTCTCATATTAAACAGATCCCTCATTTTAACCACAAGAGGCACATTCTTTGGTTACTCGGGAAGCCTCATGTAACTGCTAAAGTGTGTGTGTGTGTGTGTGTGTGTGTGTGTGTGTGTGTGTGTGTGTGTGTGTAGGGGGGGTTATTTGGTATTTTTAAGCTTGTTTTTCTGAAAAGTTGTTGGATGAAAAATGCATTAGTTGCCTCTATGCAGAATAACCGGCAAGTGACATCTTTTCTCTGAAAAATATTCATACTCTAAAGTCCTGCAGCTACTCATAGAGCTTGGATAGTGATACAGATGGCCTCAATTGTGTAGTATTTTGAATGATGATTAATAAATAATTATCTGGTATAACTATGGTGGGCCGAGGCAAAAATCATCCAGACAGCTGGAGAGAATTTATAACTGTGAACACGATACGAAGCTTGATAGAAAAACGACACCCTACACCCAGCTTACATTTTAGTGAAAACGCTTTTCTAGATAAATGTTTCCCAGACTTGGCTCAGAAGTATTCATAGCAACTAATTAAAGCTAAACCAAATTCCTCGAGGTGGAAAATCTAAATTTGACACTCTAGTGTTGAATAATAACACATTGAAAGCCTGTGATAGGGGAAAAAAAGCTCAAGCTGTTTTTGTTTTCTTCTACTGCTGACTTGAAAACAGGTGTAGTAGCTTCGTTTCCGGCACCGAATACTCTTCCCAGGTGCAGCGAGGGCTCATAGTGGTTAGCCCCGTGGCCGCGCGCATGCAGGACGTCAGACTCGGGGGATATTCCTGACTTCCCAGACATTTCCTGACATGTATTCTGTTACTCTGTATAGTACTGATGAATACTATGGTTGAGGAACTACTCTGATTTTTCCAAACTGAAATCAGCCTGACTACGCCTCTCCTCTTACCCCTCTTGTAAGCTGAGTTCTCCACTGAACTCTTCACTCAGTCCGTCCGCATGCCTGGTCACAGTAATCTTGTTCCAGCACAGCTTTAATCCTGCAGCCTTCAAAACCTCTTAGTGATTCTCCATGGCCTATTGAGCAAGTTCAAATTCCTTGGCAGGAGGATCAAGGCTCTGAATCTACCTTTCCCACAACAGCCAGTCACCCATCCCCTGAGACAAATCTGTTGGCCAGAGAGGCCTCTGCTGTGCCTTCACTTTTCCGCTCCTGTGGTTGCCTTCACAGAGAATCCTCCCCACGCCCACGCCCTTGCTCCCCCAGACACCAGTTTTCAATTTTCAGCAGGGCACTGACAATCTGTGTTTTTGGAAAGTGATTCTGACGGCAGCATGTTGAATGGTGTAGGACGGGAGGATACCAGAGGCAGGTTATCATATTATTATAATTTTATAGGAGATATACGGGAAGGGCTTGAAATCGCGAACGAAAAGCGGATGGGGATGGATTTGTTTTCACTACAACAGCGCTTAGGGGTGGAGAGGGCAAAGGGAGAGCTTATTCATTCACAACATTCTCAGAAAGGGAGGAGCGCGCCATCTACTGGTCAGACACATTTTAACATGTTTTAAATCACCTTAGCAAGTCTGGCAAGGATTTTATCTTTCTTTTCAACCAATGGAGTCCTCTTTTCAACCAATGGAGATACTTTGGAGTATCTGTCACCAAAGAGCCTTGAAGATGTTGCTGTTATCACTCTGGGTGGTCTGATATTCCATTAACAACACACCACCTACAGCTACTGACTGTCATATATTGAAAAAATGGGGGTGGACACAAAAGACAAAAAGAGTCAAGTTACTAGTGCAGAAGGTATGACCAAAAGGAAAAGAATATTAGCCTATGCATGTCTGTGACAGCATTCTCAGATGAGTGACAACCTTTGAAAGCAGGGGTTCTCAACACTCGAGATGGAGGAGGTACACATCAATGTCAATCATCCTATGAGTTTTTACAACCCATTGTCTTTACCAGAACTCTGATGATGCACCCCCACCCCCCATTTGGAACCTCTTCAGTGTGTGTAAAACAACTGTAAGAAGGTCCTACCCACCTCTGTAAGTAGCATCTGAAAGAATTGCATACTGAGTCTCCGTGACTATTCAAATTATGTTTTATCCCTAGAATACCCCTGGTACTTCTAAAGCAAAATACATGGTTCTTCCTGCTTCCTCTTTCCCACTCACTATATCTAAGGTCTGTGCGTCCACCAAGGCCCATTGAAAATCCTGTCTCCCTCCCAATAAACTCAATTTTTTAAAAAAAGTACTATCTCCTATACAGAGCCATTTTAGATGATTCTTTACCTTTCGAGACAACCCATATAACTTATCTGAACCATTCGTTTTGACTGTGTGTATACGAGCAGCCTTTATATATAAAATGTCATATACAGCACTGTGTTTCACCTGTTCTCCAATTCCCCAACATGATGCCCCCTCCAGAAGAGATGGAACATGTCCAGTCTGTGTCACCTGGAAACCTAGCCTGGTGTGAGGGATCTTACAGGTACCCAACAAATGTCCGTCTGTATGTCAGATGCAGATGCATATATTAGTTTAGGGTTCTTGACCTTGCCATGATTTGGTGCATGATTGACATTTGGTGCTGGATTTTTATAATTTTATTTAGATTTTATTTATGTAACTTTAGAAGGGAAGGGAAGGAGAGAGGGCAAGAAATATCAACATATGGTTGCTTCTCATGCGTCCCTTGCTGGGAACTGGCCTGCAACCCAGGCATGTGCCCTGACTGGGAATCGAACTGCGATCCTTTGGTTCTCAGGCTGGTGCTCAAACCACTGAGCTACACCAGCCAGGGCTAAGATTTTTAATAGCATCCCTGGTCTTTATGCACTAAATATGTACTAACTCCCCACACCCTGACACACACACACACACACACACACACACACACACACACACACACAAACAAATATAGTGCTGAGTATGGAGGGGAACCACTGTATTAGTGTAACATTCATTAATCTCATCTAAATGTTTAGCTACTCCCAGAAGACGCTTCTGGAGAGACTGACTTTCAACTTGTCCAAATCAGGGTTAAGGAGAAAAGGAATAAAACAAAACCGTGATCTTTACATCACAGTGATGTAAAGATCTCCCTTTGTCATTCCTATGATCTAATTTATATTACCAAAATGGCCCTTGATAAAGGGCTTGTCCTTAACCTTGATCACTTGGTTAAGGTAATGTCTGTCAAGTTTTTCTATTATAAAGTTACTATTTTCCCCTTTCCGTACACAACATGGAGTTCTACAAGATTTGTACCTCTTCCCTCATTTATTCATTCATTCAATTATTTGTTTATATCAGTGCGGGCTCATGCATATTTATTTTATACTTGTTATAACTCTGTACTCCATTAATTTTGTTGCTCATATTGTGCCAGCCGTGGACATCGGCAGCTCTTGCTGTTTGGTTCCTGTGCCCTTTTGACATGCCCTGCTTTGTATGGGAGACTCTGAAGGTCACATGTTACCCTCTGCAGCTACTTTTTGTTGTATTATGGACAACAGTGTGGTGATTGCTGGGGGAACAGAGATATAAGGGAACTAAATGGTAACGGGAAAAATACAATGAAGATTAATTTTTTTTAAATTTTGTTTTATTCGATATTGATTAACTGCAGTAAAGTATACCTATGTATGCCTCTGTGTGTGTGTTTTAAATGCCTGCGTGTGTGTGTGTGTGTGTGTGTGTGTTGTAAACACCTTTTTAGGTGCTAAGCAAATGTTAAATTCATTCTTTTTTGAAACATTTTTTTAAATTTATTTTTAAAGAAGGGGAAGGGAGGGAGAAAGGGAGAGAAATATTGACTGCCTGCCTCTCACACACACCCCGACCAGGGATCAGGCCTGCGACCCAGGCACACACCCTGACTGCGAATTGAACCCAAGACCTGTTGCTTTCTGGGATGATGTCCAACCAACTGAGCCACCCTGGTCACGGGTAAAGTCATGCTTAATAAAACGACACAAAGCAAGTCCTAAGGCAATTCTTATGTGTATATTCATGTATCAGGCCTCCATTAAATAGAGTATCGCTTTGATGTGTAATTGCTTGTACTGTGCAGTAAATGCTCATAAAATAAAAATTAATTGACAATAATGCGGTACAGAATGCTTCACATAAAAACTCTGGAGGTCTGTGGTCAGTTACAGTTTTGTCTCTCTCTTTTTTTTAGATTCTATTTGTTTTTATTTTTAGACAGAGGGGGAGGAAGAGAGAATAGGAGGGAGAAAACATCAATGTGTGGTTGCCTCTCCTGCACCCGGTACTGGGGACCAGACCCACAACCCAGGCATGTGCCCTGAGTGGGAAACAAACCGGCAACCCTTTGGGTCGCATGCTGGCGCCCAATCCACTGAGCTACACCAGCCAGGGCTGTTTTGTATTTTTTTAATAAATAAGCTAATATTAACTTTATCAAAGTATTACTTTTAATTGCATTACCTATTTACAGAAATTGGCAAAACATTGGAAAGTTCTGAGATTAATTATGAGACTACAGGTAACCTATACTCCCTGGAGAGAAATTCTAAAGCTGAAAGAAAACAATGGCCTTGATCCTGAGTGTCCTTAAGAGGAGGCAACTGTGCAACCATACTTTATTGTATCAGTAGTTCTTTAATGCCAAAGCATATTTAACCTAGTATCATAAAATGATGTGGTACATCTGGAAATAGTATTCTTACTTATGCAATGACTTTTTATGGAACATTTGAAATATTACCAGAGAAAGAGAGAACTATGTTTGCTTATGAAGCACGTGTAATCATTTATATTGAAATCCCAGTTTAAAAACTGCTCAGGTGATTGTAGGTGGGCTGAACATTGGCCCACAAAGAGATTAGGTCCTAAACCCTGAAACCTGAAAATATCACCTTATTGGGAAAAGGGTCTTTGCAGGTGTGATTAAATTAAGGATTTGCGATAAGGAGATTATCCTGGATTATCTGGGTGGGCCCCAAATACAATCACAGGTGTCTTCAAAGGAGAAGGGTAGAGAGGACGCCACACACAAAAGAGGAGGTCACCTGACCAGGAGGACAGAGACTGGAGACAGGAGGCCACGTATAAGGAATGGCCACAGCCCCCAGAAGGTGGAAGAGGAAGAACCGTCCCCTAGAGCCTCCGGAGGGAGGTGTGGCCCTGCCATACCTTGCTTTTGGCCCAGATACTAACTGCAGACTTCTGGACTCCAGACTGTGAAAGAATCAATTTCTGTTGTTTTAAGCCACAAAATTTGTGGTTATTTGCTGCAGCAGTGAGAGGAAATGAATATAATGCTTTAGTTATAACTTTGTTTACCTCGTATAACTTGCACTGGACATCAAGAAATTCTACACAGGACTGAGAGATTTACTCAAAACACAGTATAGTCTTTTTTTTTTTTTTTTACAAAATGATCGACAGCAGATTTGAAAATACCAAGTCCTCCCACTGCATTTAAAATCAGCAACTTACAAAAACAAGTATTTTACACACTGTCAAGAACATTTCTATAATGTAAACCTCATAGCTTTGCATACCATCGATATGCTAAGGACTCCTAACTTCAGATCTCTAGCCCAAATGAGTCCCCTTAATCTGACACCTATATATCCACTTACCTTGTCAACACTGTCGCTTTGATATCCAACAGGCACCTCAAACTTAACATATTCCACACGGGGCTGCTGCCCTTTCTCCCTGACTTGCTCGTTGCTAATCTGCTCCCTCGTGTTAAATGGCAACTCCATTTTCCCAGACGGCCAGGTCAAAAATCCTGATGGCATGTTTAAACCCTCTCCCCTCATATCCTACAGCAAATCCTATTTTAGCTCTATCTTCAGATTATATCCAGGAGCTAGCCACTTCTTAACACTTCTATGGCCTCCACCCTAGTCCAAGCCACCATCTTTTTCCTCTTGGATTATTGCAATAAGCTCCAACCTAGTCTCCAGCTTGTGCCCAACCTAGTCACCACATCGGACAGTGATTCCTTTACTGGGTGAGTCAGCTCATGCCACTCCTTTGCCCCAAACTCCCACTAGCTTCCCATCTTACTCAGATTAAAAAACCAACTCCTTGTAATGGCCAAATTGCCCTGAATCCCATATCCTACAACTTGAACCCTCACCCATTCTGGTCTTCACGCAGGCCAGGCCTGATCTGATAGCTCTCTCCCCAGGGTTCTTGCTCCTGCCTGGAATCTTCACTGTCACCTCCCCGTCCCCCCCACCCTGCCCCGTCTCTGTAAGACTCCCTTATTTACTTGAGGTATTGGCTCACAAGCGATGCCTTCCTTGACTACCTCCCAGACAAGGTCACCCTCTGGTACACATTTACACAAGTGTCTGTCTTCCCCCTTTAGAATGCTCACTTCACAGAGGCAGGAGCTTTGAGTCAGCTATGTGCACAGCCTGTAACCTGAACATGCCAGAAATGCCTCATGTGATAAAAAAATGTATACCAAAAGTAGTGATTATATACAGAGACACATTGTTTTCAATAATTAGTATCATACTATACATTACCAATCTTCCTGAATAAATTTTTTCCAATTAGTATTTCATCCTACCTTTTAGGTTCCTTATTCTTCCACTGCTAATTTTTCTCTTCTGAAACTAAATTCTTTTTCTTTTTAAAGATTTTATTTATTTGCCCTGGCTGGTGTGCCTCAGGGGATTGAGTGCCAGACTGAGAACCAAGGGGTCACCAGTTGATTCCCAGTCTGGGCACGTGCCTGGGTTGTGGGCCAGGTTCCCAGTGGGAGGAGCACAAGAGGCAACCACACATTGATGTTTTTCTCCCTCTCAATAGATTTTATTTCTTTATTTTTAGAGAGAGAGGAAGGGAAGAAAAGGAGAGAAACATCAATGTGTGAAAGATACACTGATTGGTTGCCTCTCACATCCCGTATCTGGAGGCCTGGACCACAACCCAGGCATATGCCCTGACTAGGAATCAACTGGTGACCCCTTGGTTCACAGGCTGGCACTCAGTCCACTGAGACACATCAGGCAGAGCTGAAATCAGATTCTTTCTAACAAAGTTACAAATTTAATCTCAGACTCACCCAAATAAAGGATTTGTAGTCTTTCTGTACTATGGTGCTCTTATATATTTTCTCTGTCCACTGGTCCAACTTTTACTGAATTCCTTCTTTATTTACTACACTTTAATTTTTTGTTTCCTTTGCAGGCTATCCCTTAGATTTCAATTTGCTCTCATTTTTTGTTACCCCCAAGTTTAGGGAGGAAGGGTTCAGTTTGGTGTGGGAGGCAACTCTAGTTTTCTCTACCTATTTGCCTCTTTCTTGGACCCCCTCACACTCTTATTTTTGAACCCTGGACATCATAACTCTGTTTATTGCACCTTTGTTGCTTTTTGTCTTTTCAAACTTCTCACAAAGGCGTATGACTCTCAATCCTTTTGTCTATTCTAATCAAACCAACTACACACAAAACAAGAACCAGAAAGCATCTTAGCCTACAGCGTCTCAACCATACTGGCTCCTAGAGTGTGTTTCAGACATCTGTCAAGGGAATTTGGGATTGCCACAATCACTGAGGGGAGAGGGATACAGCAGCATGTAATTGGGGTGCTAGACATCTGCAGTGCAACAAACCTACACAATAAAAATATTGTTCCAGGTTTCATCAGAGTTTTCAATGTTCTTCCAGACATCTACTTATGTGCCTAAGGCTTGGACTCTAACTCCATTTTACTTATGCCAAGCTATTCTTTTTGAAGTTTCAATATGGACTAAAAATTCTTAGAATTCTTCTGTGTGAAAAACAATGGAAGATTATACTTTGATATAGTCAGAACTTTACCAAGAAGTTGTATACTACTTTGGAAAACTCATGCCACCAACAGAAAGCCTTATGATGCAAGAGAAACCAACAGAACACACCTATTGTAATTGTAGCTTTTATATTTATAGTCATTGTTTATGCACACAAGCAAATGACACTTTGTATTTTCTACTGTAGACATGTTTCAACTTTTACATTTTGAATTACTATTTTTTGGACTGTAAGATGCACCTAGGACTGTAAGGACCATTTAAGACCATAAGGTTTTAGAGGAAAATAGGAAAAAATTTTTGAAGCAAAAAATGTAGTAAAATACTTAATAATATAAATATTCCACCAATGTAAATGTAAAGCTACATTCAGACTATAAGACGCACCCCGCTTTTCTCCCAAATTTGGGAGAGTGCATCTTATAGTCTGAAAAATACGGTGTGTGTATATATATTATTTTGCTATTTTGCAATTCTTCTTTTACAACTGGGATGTTGTTGTTGTTTTTTTAATTGTGTAGATGGGTTATATTACCTATGGTTTTCATTACAGAATGATATTTTTAAAGGCTACTCAGCAGGTACAAAGGGAAGTTGGTGCCCATTACATTGACATAACAGACCACTCCCAGATCTCCCATTTGCTTCCCAGTTTACTACTGACACTTCGACCACACCATACTCGACGTCGTTTTCATTTTCAAGGACCCTGAGCTTTTCCATAGGGGGCTAGTAGTGCAGCTGATGATAAAGAAAACTTGTATGGTCCTTAAGAATAGTCTCGCATACATAATCCCGTTCGATGTTCGCAAGGATCCTACAGGTCAAGCAAATAAAATGTCTTTCTAACGATTGTTACGAACTACGGTGTGTTATAGGAAAAACGAAAACCAAAAATACTTTACTTGAGCCGCTGCCATATCTTCGTTTATGAGCTTCAGATATCCCACAGATTAAGGCACCAAGATTCTCAACCAGATGAGATCTCAGAACTTTTTTCTTTAGGATTTATTTCAGCCTCTTCCTAGAGATGAGAAAACCGAGATTTAAGAAAACTTATGCGACTCGCCCACGACTCTGAGCTATCATAGCAGTTCAAGACAGGGGTGTAAGAATATATAGGATGGCCTATTCTATTACACTGGTTTTTCTCACCGCAAATTTTTGATGAGCAGACTATCACCCAAGTCAACACCGGACGTGGGCGAGCCCCGCCCTCTGGGCTGTCCGAGACACTGCCTGATTGGCGGCCAGCGCAGGGGGCCTCATGGGGTCCTTCGCGCGGGCTGCCGACTCACCGCCTGAGCGCGTGCGCTTACGGCTTCCGGTGTGGGTGACGAGTGGTGGCTGAGGCTGGGGGATATCAAGGGACGCTCAAGCAGGGACCATGGCGGACGGCGGCTCGGAGCGCGCTGATGGGCGCATCGTGAAGATGGAGGTGGACTACAGTGCCACGGTGGATCAGCGTCTGCCCGAGTGCGAGAAACTGGCCAAGGTGAGGGGAGGCCGGTTGTCTGTTGGCGAGCGCCACGGGCTGAGTCACGGCGCGGAGGCTGCTTAGGCCTCGGGGGGCCTGACGACTGGACTGCGCAACCCCAGCCCAGGTTGGGCCTGCCTGAGTGGGACCCCCCCAGGTCTGCCTGATCAGGGAGACGCCAGGCGGGGTACGATGATGCATACAGCTTTGCAGACCCTCCTCGGGACAGATGGTCACTTCCTCCCCGCAGGAGTTGGGGCCGGATAGTACTTTCTGCGTTTCTTTGGATGCTGTTTAACGTTTACTTTACTCGTTTCGCAGGGGTTAAGGCCGCTTCAGCATTCAGGCTAGATCAGGGAGTTTCGTTCTGCTGCTCTTGCTGAATCAGTTTATGTCAAGTTGCTTATGGATCACGGCGATGTGCCTGGCCTTTGGGCAGGGAAAGGGGTAGGAAAGTGGTAGAACGAGGCGATTAACACAGGATTTCTGTCCAGGAGGAGATCCTGTACGTAAAGAATTGGACAAGTCCTGTAGGGCGGTGTATGGCCGACAATAATGAATAAATTGTTCTAGTAACACAGAAGGAAGCTCTTCATTCTTACTGGTGGGATAATGGAAGCGTTTACCGAGAAGCTCACGTTTGTGTTGGGCCTGGAAGAATCAGTAAGATTGCGTGGGGAAGGAATCATTCCTTCAGCAGGAACTATTTGAGTAAAGACATATAGGCACTCAAGTGCAGAATAACCTAGTTAGAGGAGGTCTTGAACAGTAGGTTAGCTCCATTGCTCATCTCCCATAGGATAGAAACCTAACTTGATCCAAACATTATCACGTCCCCTACTGTGTGTCAGGCAACTTTGTGTATCGTTTTACCTGCGAAGAAACCAAGGCTCAGAGTTACTTGTCCAACGTTACAGTTGTTAATAGGTAGAGCCAGGGATTCAAGACTTGGTTTACCTGACTAGGGAGGGTAAGGGTGGTTGTTGAGTCAGCGTTTCATGGGCTGTTGCTCTAAGGCCTCATTGTGCTCAGGCCTTACCAGATGCTTTGATGTCTCCAGCTGTAGACATTTACTGCTATTCACCTGGTGTGCATTCACTCATAAGGTGGTTTTTGTCCCTAAAGAGCTTACTACATAAGAGCAAATTCAGGAGCAGGAGGAGGACACTATTTCACATTTAGTCTTAGAAAGTAATCTTTATAAGGCCTCTCTTTTTTTCCGAAAAAGAAAAAGAATGTAATGAGGCTTTACAAAAAAACAAGGATAGGGGAAGGTGCTTTTGATGCACCTGTATTCCTTAAGGACAGTACATTTGATGGAGGTGAGCCATAAGTTCATCTCTGAGATTTCTAGCAGAGAGTGTAAAGAAACATCATCTACTACTTAAGGGTTGGAGAGTTCAAACACCTGCAGTGCCACAGAGGTAACAGTAGCCGACATTTACTGAGTCGTTTCTGCAGTGCCAGGCATTCTCTCTAGTGCTTACATGCACTAACTTACTTGCTGTTCACCGTAGCCCTGTGTGATGGGTATTACTGTTCTTACTTTACAGACAGCAGGCTAGGAGGAGTTAAGTCACATGCTCCAAGGTCATACCGCTACTGAAGTGATGGGGCCAGGATGCAAACCCAGGCAGACGGGTTCTAGCTGCGCTCTCACCATGCTGCCCGGCCTAGAGGGCCTTGTGTGAGGAAAACCTGAACTTCTAAACACCTGCCCAGGGAAAAGGGCAGTAACTCTTCACCTCCAGTTAATCTTTGCCAATTGGGGATGAAGGCCAGGCCTTGTTAACTCTTCTATTTCGAGGGAGAAAGTCAGGAATATGGATTCATATATGAAATGCTTCAGTATTTAGAAACTGGACAGTAATCTGTTTTAAAATACTATCTGAGACACTACCATGTAGATCAAATGAAACTACAGGCCAAAGGCAGCCCCTGAACCACCACTTTGGAACTAATAGAGTGACATTGTAGGAAGAAACCGTTGGCTTTAAAGAAGTACAGCTGTTGTAGAACTGAGACCTGGGAGAAAAAATCTTCCCCTTACCCACATGTTCTGCATGTTCTGACAGTCTGCTGTGTGCAAGACCGAGTCGACACTAAGGATTGTGGGGGGTAAAGATTACTGGTCAAAACTCTTGCTCTCAAATAGGTTAGAGCCCAGTGAGAAAAGAGTATTTCACTGCTACCTAGCGATTACATGTATGGCATTTATTCAGGACATTGTCGTTATGTCCAAGACAGTTGAAAGATTTGCAGTTCAAATGCCAGATGCCTTTTTAGTTGTCAGATGGAATGGAAATATTTAAAATGAAAGGCATTTGAATTTTGGTTATTTTTTTTTTAAGCCAGCATACCAGTGGGTCAAAACAAGGTGTAAGTGTGAATTGCTTAAGGGGTGGGAGGGATTTGGAGGTGATAGGGTGTACATTTTTTATTCATACAGACCCATGGTTTTTAACCCTTGGATTAGGTTAAAAACTAATGGTTGTATTATAGTCCTAGTTAACTTTTTAGATTGTATGTCTCTCTGATTTGCTCTTTATTCATTGTTTTACAGTATTTTATAACCAGCCTGCCAAACATAAGGAAATACTGATTTGGCATTGCATGTCTGCATTGGAATATATGGAACGTGTTAGCATGTATATATATATTTTTTAATTTTGAACCCATTAGTAAAACTGAAAGCCCTGGTTGGTGTGACTCAGTGGACTGAGTACTGGTCTGTGAAGCAAAGGGTCACCAGTTCGATTCCCAGTCAGGGCACATGCCTCGGTTACAAGCCAGGTCCCAAAAAGGGGGCTCACAAGAGGCAACCAACACATTGATGTTTCTTTCCCTCTCTTTCCCTCTCTAAAAGTAAATAAAACCTTTTTTTTTTTAAAGATTTTATTTATTTATCTTTAGAGGGGAAGGGAAGGAGAGAGGGAGAGAAACATCAATGTATGGTTGCCTTTCATGCGTTTCTGCTGGGAACTGGCCTGCAACCCAGGCATGTGCCCTGACTGGGAATCAAACTGCAATTGTCTGGTACGCAGGCCCACACTCAGTCCACTGAGCTACACCAGCCAGGGCCTAAATAAAACCTTTTAAAAAACCTGAAAAAAAGTTTTATTTTCCCTCTATTTGTGAGGAAACTAAGGTTCAGGCAGCTTAAGTGGTTTATCCAAGGACCACAGCAGAGCCAGGTCAAGCTCAGGTCTCTGGGAGCATGGAGAGTGTTCTTTCTGCAACATACCATGACCTCTCTAAGGGACTGTCACCTTTGTGCTTACTTTGCTTAAGAAACTTTTTATTTTTAATGTAAAAGACATTTGAAGATGAAAATTATGGAGACTTTAATAAGGATATATCAGGTTAAACACACACACACACACACACACACACACACACACACACGAAGCAAAAGCCTTCAAAAGGTAGACTGAAGTCTAGACCAGGGCAGTCAGATGGTCAAATCTAGGCTGTTCAGATCTCCTACAATTATGATCTAATAGAATTCTGTTTCTATGTCCTGACACTCACCTAGCAAATAACAATCATAACTAATTTTTTTTTCAAATATTTTATTTATTTATTTTTAGAGGGGAAAGGGAAGGAGAAAGAGTGGGAGAGAAACATCAATGTGTGGTTGCTTCTCATGTGTCCCCCACTGGGGACCTGGCCTGCAACCCAGACATGTGCCCTGACTGGGAATCGAACCAGTGACCCTTTGCTTCACAGGCCCTTGCTCAGTCCATTGAGCTATACCAGCCAGGGCCATAACTAATATTTATTGCTGTATAAGTTCTATATAATGTTGCCTATTACGATAATGGTTATGTTCATACTGTGTTCCAAGCATATCTTCATAGGTATCGCATTAATCGTTACACCAACCCTGTGGGTTAGAAACTATTATTATGCCCATCTTGCTAAAGAGAAAACTGCAAATCAGAGAGGGTGTCTTGCTCGAGGTAATGCAGTGGTAGGGCTGGGATTTATTCCGAAGCAGTCTGGCTGCAGAGACTTCGTTTTTAACCATTACATTGTGTTGTGTCTTTGATTGGTATTTGAGGACCCTGCCTTAGGTTGGTGAGATAATAAAAGTGATACTAGTTTTTGCTAATGCTTTTTCCTTCACCGATGTTTGAAGGAGTTAAAAATTATTCCAAAGAAGGCCTTTTCTAAACTGCAGAGGTGCAGCATTTAGCAGCTCTTAATACACAAAGGATTCCCTCTCTCCTTTTTGATGATGGTGTGTGCGTTGTATGGTTATTTGAGGACTGTTTGCATTATTAAATTGAATATATCCTTTGGTTTTCTTTTTTCTTGGTCTCTTTTCATTTCATTTGGTCACCTGCAGCCTTTTCTCAAGGTTAGTATTAAAAATAAAGAGGCAATGAAATGTAGGAGTTTACTGATGGTCAGCAGCTTGGACAAAGACCCACTTAAACAGTTTGTATAAAGTATTGGATTGGCATTAAATCTCAGCTATCTGTGATAATATCCAAAGTAAGAAAAAGCAAATATCCTCTTATCTTCAAATAAGAAGATATTTGCCTTTTCTTATTTAGATTGTTTAACAAATCATTAAAAGATTGATCCATTTAGGAGTTAAAGGATGGACATGGATACACAGAAGTTACAGATACCCAACATGTACTGATGTTAAACTCCATAGTCATTTACCTCATTTTCAAGGAATGTTTTAATGAGAAAAATGATTCACAGAAGTCACATGTTCCAACAAGTTGGTTTTGGTAGCTCTGGCCATCTTGCTCTTCTCTGAGCTGAAAGGCAGAATCGAGGAGGTGGCATTTCAGGAACTATTTGATTAGATAGGAAAGGAAGATGGTCAGCCATAGGATTGAACCTGGAAGATGGGATGGGGGGCGGTGGGTAGAGAATTGGGAGTTGTATTTAATGAAGTTGATGGTAGTATCCCTCAAATAGCACTGAATTATTAGCTGTATAACCTATTTACTGTGACACTAAGAATCAGAAATTTTAAGCCATTAAGACCAACTGACTACTAGTTCAGGTCAGTGTCGATATGTGCCGTCGGTGCAAGGGAAATAACAATTAATTAAACAAGGTCCAGCCCTAAACGAACCTACACTTAGAAGGCAAGACATGCACTTGAATAACTGGCACAAGTATGAAGGGATGCACCATGACATCTACAGAAGCAATGTGTGCTTGTCCAAATGCAGAGCACTGAACTGCACCGATCAACAGTATAGACATTAACCCTGCTCTTAAGAGTTAGCATTCTAATGAGATTACAAAGGAAGTAAACCTTAAAATAAAATAGAATTTCAGTCATGGCAAACAGAAATTCAGTGGGCTTGAGTGTTAGAGGAGGTGCTGAGTGACTTGATTTTAGAGTGTATTATTCAAGAACATCTTTCTGAGAAGGTAGAAGGTCTGATACATGCAGACCATTGCTCTAGAGCAGTGTGTTATTCCTTCACATGTAGGGTTCAGTTCTTTAAAAACCATAGTTCTGAATTTGGCCCTGGCTGGTGTGGCTCAGTGGATTGATCCCTGGCCTGCAAACTGAAGGGTCACCAGTTTGATTCCCAGTCAGGACACATGCCTGGGTTTTGGGCCAGGTCCCCAGTTGGGGGCATGTGAGAGGGGCAACTCATACACATCGATGTTTTCTCTCCTCTTTCTCCCTCCCTTCTCCTGTAAAAATAAAGTCTTTAAAAATATAAAAACCATAGTTCTGAATTAGAATGTTATATAAGCTATATTGTATTGATCAGTCATATGACTAGCAGTAATTGCAAATGTGACGGGAGGTGACCATGAATAAACAGCTATTTTGCATTTAAACTATTTCACAATACATTTTGTTGCCAGATGGTAACCATTTTCCAGTGGCGATTACTTTGATCAAAGCAAAGGTGTAGTTTAAATTAATATAGTGTAGTGAGGGGAGGGGAGGGAAAAATTGGACCAGGGAGCAAGGGCCTGGGCTCTGGTTCTGCTGGTTCGTTTTGTGGCTGAGTTGTTTGGCCCTCAGTTCTTTTATTCTTGAAAGTAAGATGATTGAATTAAATAATGTCTAGCAGTCTTTTTAGTTTTTTTTCTTTTTTGAAATTTAATGATTTATTAGCCTTTACTTTAGAGAAGTTACAGATTTGCTTTTCGTTCTTTTCCTCTGATGGACATTTAGCCAGCATTTATTGTATATATGAATCTGTAGAGCTTTAAGAACTGGTTCTCCCCTTTGCATAGGAAACATTGTTAAAATGTTAATTATGTATGTTTCAGATTCAGTTAAAGTAAGTTCACACAGTGGCTTTGCAAAGAACATATTCTGCTGCACAGAAAGTTCATAGTTTAACCCTGGCTGGTGTGGTTCTGTGGATTGAGAGCCAGCCTGAGAACCATAAGGTCACCAGGTTGATTCTGTCAGGGCACATGCCTGGGTTGCAGGCCAGGTCCCTAGTAGGGGACACATGAGAGGCAACCACACATTGATGTTTCTCTTCCACTCTTTCTCCTTCCCTTCTCTCTAAAAATAAATAAATAAAATATTTTTAAAAATAAATAAAATTTAAAAAGTTATCTTGGCAAATATGGAAACAGTATTTTTGAAAAGTCCAAACATTATTTGTGCCCTTAATTCAAAAGCTGTTTAATAAGGTGTTTTTTTAATCAGTAAAAGAGTACTTACGTGTCATCCATGAGTATCACTAAAGTTAAAAAAAAATTTCATTTATGGTTAGAAAAACAATTTCGAGATAAAACACTCCATAGCTTCCAGTTCATTCATTGTTATTAATATCAATATTGGAAATGCAGTGTTTGTGCTGTGGGTTGGTTTTATCAAAATGTGTGGTTCTTAATAGGATGGCTTATTTTGGTCCCAGTGTGTTATCATTTAGGTTTGTATTGTTGGAGCTTTGTTACTTTTATTTTTTTAAGATTTTTAAAATTTATTTTTAAAGAGAAGGGGAGAGAGGGAGAGAAACATCAATGTGTGGTTGCCTCTCACATACCCCCCCCACTGGGGACCTGGTCCGCAACCCAGACATGTGCCCTGACTGGGAATTGAACCACCAACCCTTTGGTTCACAGGCCACATGCAGTCCACTGAGCTACACCAGCCAGGGCTGTTAACTTTCATTTCTTAATGTGTCCCAGGGAGAATGTTTTGGTTTTGCTTATGAGGTAGAATTTATTATTAGTAGGCAAAAAGGGGTGTATTTCATTTGGATCAGTGTCTGCTTAAGAGCATGACTTCTGGTAGGGCAAATGTGGCTACTGCCAAGAGGGCTTCCTTTCTTTGCAGCCCAGTTATTTATTTTTAAAGTCTCTGATAATTTAGCCAGGGTTTCCTACCTTTTTACCACCAAATATCCTTGTTATTTCTCCACAAAATTTCATGTTTCAAAGTATTTGTTATGGTAATTTATAAAGAATCGTTTCCCATTTTTATTCTTTAAATACACGTGTGGCTGCCAGTTAAGAATATCTGTTTAGAACAAGATAAACAGATACTACTGCACCGATTATCCAAAACAAACTCTTAATGTTTTGCTCAGGCATTAAATCATTGTTGTTCTGAATTTAGTTTCTCTTAGGTATTTTGGAGTATTAAAGATAGCTTATGGGCCCCAAGTTGGAAATTTTAGACTAGTTATTTGATTTTGTGTTGGTGGTAATGTTTTCATTGTTCATTTTAATCTTTTGTTTTAGGAAGGAAGACTTCAAGAAGTCATTGAAACCCTGCTCTCTTTGGAAAAACAGACCCGTACTGTGAGTAGCTTATAGCAAAAACCTCAAGTTACCACAGTTAGCAGTAATTTCATTTAATATGGTTCCATTAACTTTCAATACATTTTCATTTTTACAGGCTTCTGATATGGTGTCTACGTCTCGTATCTTAGTTGCAGTAGTGAAGATGTGCTATGAGGCTAAAGAATGGGATTTACTTAATGAAAATATTATGCTTTTGTCAAAAAGACGGAGTCAGTTAAAACAAGTAAGTTTATGATTGCTCAAACACAAAAACACAAACATTTAAATAAGGACTTTTAGAAAACCTTTCTGTAAATCTGTTAAATCGACATTATAACATTCTAGAGAGTTTGAAAATTCTGTCCATAGTCTCATAACTGCTTTTATTTTTGTTTCTTATTTGGATATTTTTATAAAATTGTAGTGAGGGTGTTCTATTTTCACATTGTTCCATAGCATTTTCATGCTTATTATATTAAATGATTATTATAATCCATCAAGTTGATAATCTGTAATTTAATTATGTCTTTTGTTTATTTTTTATTTATTTCAAATAAGTTCTTTTGCCTTTATTGAAATCATCTCTGGACACATTTGCCATTTTAAAAATCAGTTTAATGCTGTCCGGAGCAGTGTTCACTTTGGTCCCGTTTTCCTTCACACCATTGTCGCAAGCCTTCATTCCAGGCCATATAGACAGAGAGGGCCCGCACCACATGAATGGCAACCACTGCAGCAGTAGAAGCATTAAAAAGTTGTCCCTACTGGAAATCCCAAAGCTACCTTGAAAAACATAAGATACAGTTCTGGCTGGTGTAGCTCAGTGGATAAGTGCTGGTCTATGAACCAAAGGGTCGCTGGTTCACTTCCCAGTCAGGGCACATGCCTGGGTTGCAAGCTAGATCCTCAGTGAGGGGCACATGAGAGGCAACCACACATTGACGTTTCTGTCCCTCTGTTTCTCCTTCCCTTCCCCTCTCTAAAAATAAATAATTTTTTTTTAATGACATAAGATTTAGTGGTAAAATATAACCTAGTAGGTACAGTGATCTGTTAAGCTGTGAAGAACAGGAGAGTCTTCAGGGTAGATGCTAGTGAACTTCCATTTCTGACATTGGTTCAGCACCACTTTTCGAGGTGCACCAGCCATGGCATAGCCACCTGCAGGAGGTCCTTGCAGGTGGACTGGGCTCACTGGCCACTCTCAGTTGGCTCAGTGGGTGGCCAGAGGCCACGCCTAAAGTGCCTGTGAACCTCACGTGTCTGGTATTAAACACTTAACATTAAAATTACTTTTGAAGCCATTTCAGATATTATTTTAAATACTTATTTTGTTTAAAGATTAAGTATATTTTCTTAGGGTATTTTTGTGAAGCTAGACTTTACTGTTTCCCTGTTCTGCTTGGATATATTTATTTAAATGGTCCTCTGTAGTAGATTCCACTTTTCATACTTCTGTCTCATTTTTATTTATTTATTTAAAAATTTTTTTAAAAATATTTATTTATTTTTAGAGAGAGGGGAAGCGAAGGAGAAAGAGTGGGAGAGCAACATCAGTGTGTGGTTGCCTCTCTTGTGTCCCCTACTGGAGACCTGGCCTGCAACCCAGACATGTGCCCTGACTGGGAATCAAACCAGCGACCCTTTGCTTCACAGGCCTGTGCTCAATCCACTGAGATACACCAGCCAGGGCTCATTTTTAAATGTTACTTGTTTTCTGAGTAGCTTCTGGGTTTTTATTTTTTGCCTTCAGATGATAAAGGTAATGGCATTGTAAAACAGGTTAATAGTGGAACCAAAAACAGAAATACAAGGTTCTTGTCCGAATCTCTTGTTTTACTAGTTTGCTGCTAGAGTGAGCTTAGTGGGTTAAATTACTTTTTGCAGAAAATAAAGTTACTATGATTGTTTACTGTTTTGTTTTGTTTTGTTTTGTTTTGAGATAAGTTGCATGCATATAATATTCACTGTTTAGAATTTAATAGATTTGCCCTGGATGGGTAGCTCAGTTGGTTAGAGCATCATCCCAATATGCCAATATTATGGGTTTTCCCTGGTCAGAGCACGCACAAGAATGAACCAGTGAATGCATAAAAAGTGGGACAACAAATTGATGTTTCTCTCTCTCTCTCTTTCAAATCAGTGAATAAGACCTGACTGGTGTGACTTAGTAGGTTGGACATCGTTCTGCAGATCTAGAAGTCACCAGTTCAATTCCCAGCTGGGGCACCTGCCTAGGTTGCAGGCCAGGTCCTTAGTTGGAGATGTGGGGGTGCTGATCAGTATTTCTCTTGGTCAGTGTTTCTGGTTTTTCTCCCTCCCTTCCCTTCTCTTTAGAAATAAATAAAAATCTTTTTAAAACTCAAAAAAAAATTTCATAATTTAATAGATTTAATCGAGTCACTCTGGTATGTGTGAATGTGAAATTCATTTAAATGCACCTTTTGGTGATCAGTTCTGTTTTGAGAAACCATCACAGAGTGGTTGAGAGATGAACAGATAAACCATCTTACTCTGATTTTCTAGGAGACTTGCTTTCTGTAGGACAAGTTTGAAAGGGCTACGTAATTTCTAAGGCTACTTTTCCCTTAGTTTTGGGAAGACCTGGGTTAAATAAAAATATGTGTTTTATATAATTACTACAGTTCAAAGCATGTGTCCTCAAATTCAGATTTAATCTCATAGAGTCATAAAATTTCAGAGCTAGTTTAGGGACTATTTAATTCTGTTACTTACGGAGGAACTGAAATTTATATATACAGCTCTTGAAATGTAAAGAAACATATAATTTAGTACAGAATGGACTAATTTTTTAAAAGATTTTATTTATTTATTTTTAGAGAGAGGGAAGGAGAGAGAGAGGGAGAGAAACATCAATGTGTGGTTGCTTCTCATGTGCCCCTACTGGGGACCTAGCCCACAACCCAGGCATGTGCCCTGACTGGGAATCGAACCCGGTACCCTTTGGTTCCCAGGAGGGCATTCACTCCACTGAGCCACACCAGACAGGACTAATTTAGTGAAGAATGTAAGTCATAAGTGATCATAGTACATACTTTAACAAGTATCCTAGGATTTATTTTTTATTTTTTATTTTTTATTTTTTTGAAAGATTTTATTTATTTCTTTTTAGAGAGAGGGGGAGGGAGAAAGGGAGAGAAACATCAGTATGTGGTGCCTCTCATGTCATCCCCCCACCTCCCACCCCACCACATCACACACCAGGAAGCTGATGCTCAAACCAGGCATGTGCCCTGACTGGGAATCGAACTGGTGACCCCTTGGTTTGCAGGTGGGCACTCAAGCCACTGAGCCTAAGGGCCTAAGATTGATTTTTTAACTTAAAAAAAAAATTTAAAGATTTAATTTGTTTATCTTTAGAGGGGAAGAGAAGGAGAGAGGGAGAGAATATCAATGTAGAGAGAATATCATTGTATGGTTGCCTCTCGTGAGTCCCCTGCTGGAAACTGGCCTGCAACCCAGGCATGTGCCCTGACTGCGAATTGAACCGCGATCATGTGGTTCGCAGGCCTGTGCTCAATCCACTGAGCTACACCAGCCAGGCTCTAAGATTGATTTTTTAAAAACTATACACACACATGACAATATATAGTAGGTGACCTGAGAGTAGTGAAAGGTATTAAGAGATATGAAAGGAGGAAGAGAATGTTTTCAATTAGGTTTATGAGGAGGGTTTTTGGAGAAAGGAAGTTAAGTCTTAGAGCTGGCCAGTGATCTCCCAGAACTGGGATGGGGACTGTTCCTTTTTCTCTCACATTGTATCTGCAGAGCCGTGGGAAGTGCTTAGGGGCTCAGCAGACCTCTTTTTTTTTCCTATAATTACTCTTTTTACCTAAAACTTCTTTGTTGGCCTTATCAAACTTAGAAAGGAATGCTTTTCTTAACCTTTTCTAGATTGCTTAGTGGTTTGTAATTCACTGTTGCCTGAGCATAGGAGGTAAGCCTCACTCAACTGTAACTTCCGAAATGATTTACGTACGTTTTTTTCCAGGGAACAGCAGGGTGCTCAGTGTCATAAGAATACTGATAGTTTTGTTTTTGCTTTTATCCCCATCTGGTTTCTGTTCATGTGTTTTTTGCACAACTTTTAGAATTATCAAGTTGTATGCATGCTCTTCTAGAAATCATCGATTTTAGTGGGATCATGTGTTCTGTGAGATACAGGTGTCCCAGGGCCTGGCACTTACTGGAAGAATTGTATGTTATAATAAAACCTTAATTTCTGGAACTCCTAGGTCTCTGAACATCAGATTTTTTCAGACGGTTTAAAGTCTGTCCCTGACCAGTGTGCGCAGTTGGTTGGAGTGCCGTCCTGTAGACCGAAAGTTTGTGGGCGTGGTTCCCAGGGCTCAGACCTGAGTTGCAGGTGTGATCTCCAGTAGAAGGCAACCAATCTCTCTCTCTCTCTCTCTCTCTCTCTCTCTCCAAAAGTAATGAAAAAATGTCCTCAGGTGAGGATAAACAAAAGTTCTTTAAAGAAAAAAGTCTAACCTGGGCTACATAATCATTACATGTTTTTCAAGGTAATCTTGGGAACACATTCCATGGGATTTTTTTTCCGCCTTGTTAAGGTATAATTGACAGCAAGATACTGTGTTTATTTTTCTGTTTGTTACACACAAAATATGCTTAATATAATTTAACATTGTCTTAATGACAAAGTTCTGATTATTATTATTTATGACTGTGATGTGCTGTTCACAATCTAGGATTTGGCAAACAATGGGTCATGGCCCAAATTCCACCTTCCACGTTTATAAATAAAACTTTCTGAACGCAGCCATGCCCGTCTGCTACATGTGACCTATTGCAGCTTTAAAGTTAAAAGACATATTTGAGTAGTTGCCACAGAGACTCTGGACCCACAGAGTCTAAAATATTTACTATGTAAATAGCTGTAAATCTATAAACATGTATGAAAAAGGTTTGCTGACCCCTGACCTCGATCCTGGAATGTTAGAGCTGGAGGGAGTGCAGGGAGACAGGGCAGGAGACACTCCTCCTTTTCTTCGTCACCTTTCATTGGGTTGAGTACGGTGACCGGGGCTCGGCTTCCCCACCTAGATGATGGAACCATTTTACTGCTGCCTCTGTCACTGACTCTTTTTTCTTCAGTCATGCTGTCTGCCGGTCATTGTTTCGGTGCTCTCGTAGCCAGGGTCAACTCTGCTTTTCTCCTCCTTTTCATTTATTTATTTTACCTTTAGTCTGTTTTAATTTCTTCCACTCATTTCTGCTTGGCTTCAAAAAAGCTGGCTTGCCAGCCTCCTAACAGATGTCATCAGTCATGCCTCTGCTTTCCTTTTGTGTGATTAGTTCTTGAGTGGTAGGGGGAGAGGAGCAGTCTTACCCCTGAGGGTTTCCTACCCTTTCTTGATTTATTCCTGTGTACTCGGCACTTCTTAACTACCAGGGGGGTATGATGTTCTTTTGTAGACATTTCAGTGTGTAGAGTTGCTTGGGAAGACCAAATTTGACCACAGCACTTCCATCAATAAATACTTTCTTTTCTGTGTGAGCAATGGATTTTGCTTATGAGTGATTTTTATTATTTTAGGCTGTTGCAAAAATGGTTCAACAATGCTGTGCTTATGTGGAGGAAATCACAGACCTTCCAACCAAGCTTCGATTAATTGATACTCTACGCATGGTTACAGAAGGAAAGGTGAGTTGTCTTGTTGGCACAGCTGACAGTGGTAAATACTCTCTTACTTGTATTCAGAGATACCTGTATATTTACACATTTTGTATTAGTATGTAAAAATAAGTTTAATTCTTCACCTGGTCTAGATCTTCTTGAAAAGTCTACAATTGGGATAGTAGCTAAGGTTTCACTGTCATATTTACATTGTTAGAGCATTTGCAATGTGAGGTTAATTTTCAAAATTTCACTGTCTTGCTAGAATCTGTTTGTATTTATTTTGTATTTCTCCCCACTGCTCCCAATATCATGTTTCTCTAAAAAGGGCAAGTACAAAATGGTGACTGTAGTAGACATGTTTTTTTCTAGATCGATTTTTGTGGTTTGAAGCCAAAAACTCAGCCCTTGTGCATTTTGTCTATTGAACTGTCAGTTCAGCTCAGTAGATGTCACTGAGTACCTGTGTCGTGCTAGGTCCAAATGAGCAGGACATTGTTACCTTAAAACGATCGGCCACGGGAATCCTCAGTGGGCCGTGTCATGACAGTAGCAGTGTGCCGACGGCCCCCCACGGCACAGGGGTGCCCGGGACGCCTCAGAGAGCTGATGGTGGCCGAGCGGGCTTTTTAAGAATAAATAGAAATTCTTCCTGGCCAACAGGCATGGAAAAAGTATCAAAGTAGGAGACACCTAGTTCATTTAGGAAACCGTAAGTGGTTTGTTATTTTTGGAGATTAGATTTTGGGGGTGGGGTGGGGAGCAGGGGTTGCTGCAGGGCAGAGGCTGAACAAGCGGCCTAAGCATGAGCGTTAGCTTCCTGGACCCTGTATACATAGGTTGTTGATGTTTAATTTGTTAAAAGTCACAAATCCACTGATGTGATTTATAGCTACAAAAAATGCTAGTAACTTTCATACTTACCAAGATCAGATATTTGTAAAGAAAGTAGCCTTATATTTAAAGATAAAATCAGAGTTAGAGCATTGGTTGAATTGCAGCTACTGGACTGCATATGCTCTTTGTAAAGGGTGTTATTTTTCAAATAATCAATGTTTTTTAAGATTTTATTTATTTACTTTTAGAGTGAGGGGAAGGGAGGGAGAAAGAGAGGGAGAGAAACATCAGTGTGTGGTTGCCTCTTACTTACATACCCCCTACTGGAGACCTGGCCCGAAACCCAGGCACGTGCCCTGACTGGGAATCGAACTAGCGAACCTTTGGTTTGCAGGCCAGCACTCAATTTTTTTTTTAATATTATTTATTTATGTTTTAGGATTTTTTTTAAAGATTTTATTTATTTATCTTTAGAGGGGAGAGAGAGGGAGAGAAACATCAATGTATGGTTGCCTTTCATGCGTCCCCTGCTGGGAACTGGCCTGCAGGGAACTGGCCTGCAACCCCGATATGTGCCCTGACTGGGAATAGAACCGCAATTGTCTGGTTCGCAGGCCCGCGCTCAATCCACTGAGCTACACCAGCCAGGGCTTAGCACTCAGTTTTTTTAAGGTACTTTTCATTTTGTGTGTCAGTTATGTAGCAGGTGGTCTGTAACTCATTAAACACAGAGATTTCATATTTAGGTTCTCAAAGCAAAGCTGCAAAATATGGGTAATGGTTTATAGAAGCATTTTCTTAAAGTTTGAGTGATTGTGGAGTGTAAAAGGTCGCCCAGCGCTGTTGCACGTGGAGGATGAAGTGCTCAGGGACTCCAAGATGAATGCTCTGCACCTAGTTTGCATAAGAGTTCAGTGCTGTCTTTTAACACATTTCTGTAGGGATTTTGATAATAATACGTTTATTGTGTTTGTAGATTTATGTTGAAATTGAGCGTGCTCGACTGACAAAAACGTTAGCAACTATCAAAGAGCAAAACGGTGACGTCAAGGAGGCAGCCTCCATTTTACAAGAGTTACAGGTAAGGTGCTACATATTAGAGTGTGTGAAACTTTAGACTTAGCTGGTAATAGCTTATTTTGGCACCGTACTGCTTTTTTCTAAACCACCAAAATTAAGAGTGAGTGCAGTAAAGTGTGGGGTTATTCAAGTACCGGGCAGTAGAGTAATTGTGGTCCCAAATAAATTAAACTGCGACAGAAGTTTTGAAGAAAAATTGGGATCAATTAGTTAATCTTGATTTTTGTGCTGTTATTTGAACATTTTGATTCTCAGAATATAAGTAAAATCAGTAATTCATATACTATTTACTATTCCTTAGAATTTACAGTTTATCATTGGCTTTGTTCTTAATGATTTTTTTTTTTTTTTAAGATTTCATTTATTTATCTTTAGAGGGGAAGGGAAGGAGAGAGGGAGAGAAACATCAATGTGTGGTTGCCTCTCGTGCGTCCCCTACTGGGAACTGGCCTGCAACCCAGGCATGTGGCCTGACTGGGAATTGAACCAGTGTGACCTTTTGGTACTCAATCCACTGAGCCACACCAGCCAGGGCATGAATTGAATTGTTCTATATCCTGATTGTGATTGTGATTACACTAATTTATAAGTGTATTAAAATTCATAGAACTTCACTCCAAAAAAAAAAAACCCAAATTTTATTAATACTGTATAATTTTCTGGAGGAAATTAGCTTTTTTTTTTTTTTTAAATATTTATTTACTTATTTATCTTTAGAGGAGAAGGAGAGAGGGAGAGAAACATCAGTGTATGGTTGCCTCTAATGTGTCCCCTGCTGGGAGCTGGCCTACAGGGAACTTGCTTGCAACCCAGGCATGTGCCCTGACTGGGAATTGAACTGCGATCCTCTGGTTCGCAGGCCAGTGCTCAATCCACTGAGCTACACCAGCCAGGGCGGAAATTAGCTTTTTAAAAAATTGTTCTCAGAGAGAAAGAGGAAGGGGCAGAGGCCGGAGTGGAGAGAGAGAGACACACACCTGGATTTGTTGTTCTGTTTATTTATGGATTCATTGGTTGCTTTGCATGTGCCTTGACCAGAGATCAAACCCACAGCCTTAGGGCAATGGGGAGGATGCTGTAAACAACTGAGCTACCCAACCATGACAAAACTAGCTTTTTTAGAGTCAACACTCTCCCAAAATGCGTGAAAGTTTTTATTATTTATCAAGGGTGCCTATTTTAATATGTATTTAAATTTGCAGTTTTTAAGTATTATAAGTTAATTTGGGGACTTAATCTGCTAGGTGGAAACCTATGGGTCAATGGAAAAAAAAGAACGAGTGGAGTTTATTTTGGAGCAAATGCGGCTCTGCCTCGCTGTGAAGGATTACATTCGTACACAGATCATCAGCAAGAAAATCAACACCAAATTTTTTCAGGAAGAAAACACAGAGGTACAGTACACATATAAATTCACTTAAAAGTGTTTGGTGGGGGGAATCCATAAACCCCAGTTAATTTTGTCAACTTACCTTTCCCCCCGCAGAAATTAAAGTTGAAATACTATAACTTAATGATTCAGCTGGATCAACATGAAGGGTCCTATTTGTCTATTTGTAAGCACTACAGAGCAATATATGATACTCCCTGTATACAGGCAGAAAGTGAAAAGTGGCAACAGGTAAGAATATATTCTTTTACTTGGCATTGGTACTTAGTATGAACAATTTGCAATTTTAAATTTATTTTGAAGCAATTTTAACTTACTAATTACATGCAATTTTATAATGCTGCTTTGTATTCAGTGTATTGATGATTCAGTTTATCTTGACTGGTTCAGACAAGTAAAGACCTTGCTTTGCTTCAGAAAATTGTTTTTCTAAAAACTACTTTAAATAGCTTATATGTGTATTCCACATTTATGATGCTAAGTTGTTATAAGAACTACTTTTATACATTTGTTAAAAAAAAAACAGGTAGTAATTCAAATTACCAAAGATTTACTGTAATAAACTTATGAAAACTAAATATTACAGAAAGACATTAGGAAAAGAGCAGTCTGCGATTTTTTTCTCCTAAAACTTTTCAGTACAATATGAAAAATGAACTTACACAGTTATTCCATGGTTTTTCAGTTCCTGCCAGAGTTTTCATTTGGTCTCTGATCCTGCGTGTTAATCTGTTGTGTTGTGCAACATTTCTAGGCTTTGAAGAGTGTTGTCCTCTATGTTATCTTGGCTCCTTTTGATAACGAACAGTCAGATCTGGTTCACCGGATAAGTGGTGACAAGAAGTTAGAAGAAATTCCTAAATATAAGTAAGTATTTTTATAATTAGTTTAGTATACCTCAGTAGAAGCACTGTTTTATTTATTTTATTTTTTAGTTTTTATTTATTTATCTTTAGAAGGGAAGAGAAGGAGAGAAATATCAATGTATGGTTGCTTCTGGTGCATCCCCCCTGCTAGGAACTGGACCCTGCTGGGAATTGGCCTGCAACCCAGGCATGTGCCCTGATGGGGAATCGAACCGAGATCTTTTGTTTCTCAGGCCCGTGCTCAGTCCACTGAGCTACAACAGCCAGGGCAGAAGCGCTGTTTTAAAAATTGGTTAACCTGGACTTCCGCCAAGATGGAGGCGTAGGTGGAAACACCTTGCGTCCGCGCACAACCAAATCTAAAAACAAAGTTTTAACAACAATAAACACAACCAAACCACATAGAAAATTGACAATACGGAGTCCAAAGACAACGAAATGCTCAGCTAAACCGGTAAGAGGAGCGAAGCCAGTAGTGGAGCGGGTTGGCAAAAAAGATCCCCTACTGGGTGGTGCGCAAGCAGCCGAGGGCGCAGATCCCAGGTGCCATGCGCGCTACCTACAGGTGGACACAGGGAAGAGGCGAGGCTTGCTGTCTCCGGTCGGTGGAGCATTTGCGTGCAGATAAAACAGTGAAGAGGTGAGCGTTGAGACCGCACGGTGCAGGGCGGCGGTGGGCTCCCACATTTCCACTGGAATAAACAGTTTGGGGTGGTGGGACGAACTGGTGAGCAGAGAGGACCACCATTGCTCCTCTCTGACCCCGCCCCCACATACAGCGTCACAAACCAGCGACCTCAGTGGCCCCGTCCTGGTAAACAACTAGGACTCCGCTCCTCATACTTAACAGGCACGAACAGACCAAAAATGGCTCAAGAACAACTCAGAGCCCCAGAGCCAATAAATCTTAAGTGATGAAGAAATAGCCAAACTTTCAGATGCACAGTTCAAAACACTGGTGATCAGGATGCTCACAGAACTGGTTGATTATAGTCACAAATTAGAGAAACATATGAAAGCTAAACTAATTGAAATGAATGGTAATGCACAGGAAACCAACAGTAATGGAAAGGAAACTGGGACTCAAATCAAGGGAGTAGACCAGAAGGAAGGAAAAAATGACCAAACAGAAAAGAATAAAGAAACAAGAATTCAAAAAAATGAGGAGAGGCTTAGGAACCTCCAGGATATCTTTAAATGTCCCAACATTCGAATTATAGGGGTACCAGAAGGGGAAGAGGAACAGTCACGAGTGGAAGCCCTATTTGAACAAATAATAAGAGAGAACTACCTCGTTCTGGCAAAGGTAATAGACTTCCAGGAAATCCCAGAAGCTCAGAGAGTCCCAAAGAAGTTGGACCCAAGAAGAAACACACCGAGGCACATCATCATTACATTAGCCAAGATTAAAATGAAGGAGAGAATCCTAGAAGCAGCAAGAGCTAAGGGGACTGTCACCTACAAAGGAGTCCCCATCAGACTGTCGGCTGATTTCTCAAAAGAGACCTTACAGGCAAGAAGGGGCTGGAAAGAGGTATTTCAAGTCATGAAAAGACCTACAACCAAAGACCTACAACCAAAATTGCTCTGTCTAGCAAAGTTTTCATTTAGAATGGAAGGATAGATAAAGTGCTTCTCAGATAAGACCAAATTCAAGGAGTTCATCATCACCAAGCCCTTATTATATGAAATGTTAAAGGGACTTATTTAAGAAAAAGAAGATAAAAAAAGATGAACAGTGAAAGGACAGCAAACTCACAGTTATCAACAACCACACCTAAAACAAAAGCAAATTAAGAGGACAGCTAGGTCAGGAGTGAACCATAGAAATGAAGATCAGGTGGAGGGTTAGCAACAGGGCAGTGGGAGAAGGAGAAGGGGGGAGAAGGTACAGAAAATAAGTAGCATAGACAGTAGATAGAAAATAGATAGGGGGAGGGCAGGAATAGTATGGGAAATATAGAATCTAAAGAACTTGAGACACGTGTTCATGAACTAAAGGGGGGAATGGTGGGGGAGGGGTGTGGAGGGTGGAGGGGAAAGGAGGGGGGAATAGAACAACCGTAATGACATAATCAATAAAAAAATGTTTTAAAAAAATTGGTTAACCTAAATGAATACTTCTTAATTGGTTGCTGATAGATCAGGGTGTCAAACTCATTTTCACCAGGGGCCATATCAGCCTCTCAGTTGCCTTCAAAGGGCCTAATGTAATTTTAAGACTGTATAAATGTAATTACTCCTTAACAGTTAAGTGAGGGCTGGGCCGCCGGGTAGAAGCAAGGTGCTGAGCCAGATAAAACAAGGTGAAGGGCCAGATTTGGCCCGAGAGCCTTGTGTTTGCCACCTGTGTGATAGATTGTATTAGAGAATAAAACTAGAGGTAATAGTGAAATGTTTTTTATAGTAGTGTATTAGAATTTAATGAGATTATTACACACTTCATTCTAAATCACTTATCATGTACAGGTTTTATTTCAAGCTAATCTTAACATTTTTTGCTTAACCATCTGGTGAAGTTTTTATCAGTAGTTAGGGCTTTGTGATTTTTCAGAAGTGTGTCTGAAAATCTATAATATAAAACAGATGTATACTTCATCATAAGCACAATGGTCTTTTATTTTTTTAAGCTCTTTTTCTTTTATCTTTTTCATTTAAAAGTTTACAGTCACTAGTCCAGAGATTGGCAAGTGTAATAGAGGAGAGAATAGAATATTAAGTATGGGAATGCTACATTCAGAATCACTGTGGGACAAAATGGTAGTAAAATTGGTAATATTAATAGTAATCCACCTGACTCTTATCCTGCAGATAAAAATTTATTAAAAATACAGTCTTTGGCCCTGGCTGGTGTAGCTCAGTGGATTGAGCATGGGCCTGTGAACCAGACAATCTCGGTTCGATTCCCAGTCAGGGCACATGCCTGAGTTGTAGGCCGGTTCCCCGCAGGCCACTTCCTAGCAGGGGATGCACAAAAAAGGCAACCATACATTGATGTTTCTCTCCCTCTCTCCTTCACCCCCTTCCCCTCTAAAGATAAATAAATAAAATGTTAAAAAAAAATACAGTCTTTGTTGATATTTAAAACCTTGCCATTATGCTAGATGAATGTTACCTTACAGATTTGGAATACTAAGTTTCATACCATTTATAGGGATCTTCTGAAGCTCTTCACCACAATGGAGCTGATGCGTTGGTCCACGCTCGTTGAGGACTACGGCATGGAACTAAGGAAAGGTTCTCTGGAGAGTCCTGCCACTGATGTTTTCGGTTACACAGAAGACGGTGAAAAAAGGTGGAAAGACTTGAAGAACAGAGTTGTTGAACACGTAAGAATCTGGCGTGGTAGCGGTGGCAGTTTAGAAGTAAAGTGCAGCAAATTTGAGCATAAACTTTTATTTTTTATGCTTGGTAATCAGTCATATTAACATGCGTCATATTGAGGTGACCATGCAATCATTAAACTCTATAGCACATACACCAGAAGGATTGTTTTTAAAAGATTTTATTTATTTTTAGAGAGAGGGGGAGGGAGGAAGAAAGAGGGAGAAAGAAACATCATTTGGTTGCCTCTCACATGCCCCCAACTAGGGATCTGGCTTGCAACCCAGGCATGTGCCCTGACTAGGAATCGAACTGGTGACCTTTAGGTTCACAGGCTGGCACTCAATCCACTGAGCCACTCCAGCCGGTGCCAGAGGAATTTTTTAATGTGAGGGATAATGGGAGCGGGGAGAGTGTTTTCTATCTGATACTCAGTTGACAATTTTGGATCGGGTAACATAATCTTAAACCTGAACTTGGATCTTCTTGATGTCACTACAAATTGAATATGTCAACAGTCATTCATACAGCGAACACTTTTTTAATCCTCTCCTGGGGATATGTTTATTGATTTGAGAGAGAAAGAGAGAAACAGAAACATTTATAGAAAAGGGAAATATCCATGGCTTGCCTCCCGTATCAGCACCTCGACCAGGGATCAAAGCCACAACCTGAGTAGGTACCCTGACTGGGAATCAAACCTGTAATCTTTCGGTGTATGGGACAGTGCTCCAACTAACCGAGCCACCTGACCAGGGCACACACACATTTACTGTGAGACTTCTGTGTGGCAGACAGACTCCAGGAAGTGCCGGGGCACATGGGAGATGAGACACGACCCCTGACTTCATTTGTCGGCGCACCAGAGTTGTGGGCTTGGTCCCTGGTCACGGCACATACAAGAGTCAACCAGCGAATGCGTGGGTGGGTGGGACACAAATTGATGTTTCTGTGCGTGTGTCTCTCACTCACACATACCCCTCTTCCCCCTCTCTGTGCCCCTCATCCTCCCCCTCCCGCTCTGTCTCTAAAAATCAGTGAAAAAGGATGAAGGTCAGTCTCTCTAACTTTAGTACCATTTCCAGTGCAAATTAGGAAATTTAATTTCAAGTTACATTTAAGTAGTCATAATGATGATAAAATGATGTTTTGAGATGATCTTGGTTTTTAAAATGTTTAACCTTTTAAACATTTGTCATAATTAGGAAAACTTTAGTTTCTTGCTTTTAACAAAAATATTTTAGTTCATTTACAATTTTAATCACTAACTTATTTAAAATAAGCCTATATTTTGACTATATATTTTAAATAGAGAGTTGTGGAGAATACTCAGAATAATTTACAAATAACTGCAGAATTCAAAATATCTAAATATTTAGTTTGGGGTTTTTTTTTTTTTACTTTTTTTTAATTTACTTATCTTTAGAAGGGAAGGAGAGAGGGAGAGAAATATCAATGTATGGTTGTTTCTTGTTCATTCCCTGCTGGGAACTGGCCTGCAACCCAGGCATGTGCCCTGACTGGGAATCGAACCGCGATCTTTTCGTTCGCAGGCCCATGTTCAATCCACAGAGCTACACCAGCCCAGGCTAAATATTTAGTTTTATTAATGAGGTTTAGAACTAGCATTATTCCATTGGTGAGCTATGGAAAATATAAAAGCTCTAAGTCTGACATTTTAACGAAACCTATTTGGATATGAAAACAAATGACAACTGTTATGTGTCCTCTTTGCCTGCTGTCCCCTCTCCAGAATATTAGAATAATGGCTAAGTATTACACAAGGATAACGATGAAGAGGATGGCACAGCTTCTGGATCTGTCTGTTGATGTAAGTAGTAAACCTCATTGTTAAGAGTTATTTGCAGCCATTCATTTTGAATGTCAGTCAAGTTATAAAAATAGAGTGAGAAAATCAGTTTTGTTTTACTTAATTTTTAAGTTTAGGTGATAGTTTCCCCAAGCTACCTTCAATACCAAAGAATAGTCTAAATATCAACATATTAAAATTATTTACATTAGTTCAAATCTTCACTTAAGTATGTTAGTTTTTCATTAGTTTGAAGCCCAAGCTATATATTCTATAATACATGTTCATTAGGTTTTAAATACGTTCCCAGAAGTGAACCCTAGGAGTAAAAGATACAAGGGAAACTTGACTGCAGTTCACCTGAAAGGCCCAGAATGTGTCAGAGGGTTTTGTACTTAGATCTGGGTTTCATGTTGATAAAATGTACAGCACCAAAGAGATAGGAGGTAAGTGAAATGTGGAACACTGGTCTCAAAAGCCTTGTCTGCCACCAGACATGTAGTTGGGATGATTTAGCCGAAGAAGAAGAAGCACGGATGTTAGGACTCTTGATCCTCAGTTCATTAGCTCTTTCTTTTCTGGGTGAGGGTACGAGAGTCCTTAGAAGCAAAGTGCCTTGTCCATGGCAGTATGTTTGCCAAGTAGCAGGGTATATATTCTAAACCAGCATTCTGGAAATAATTGACTGTATAATACTGCTCCTTATGAGGAAGCCTTGTAGAAAAGAGTAGATCATGGTGCTGCTGGCAGCAGGTCCTTCCCCAGGACCAGCAGTAGTAAGGTCGCAGGCAGGCAGATTTAAAGTCGGCCCTGACTCTGAGTGGACTCAGGTTCTGTTCATTCCCTAGACTCTCAGTGAAGTAAGTGCATTAACACAGGAAATCAGCAGTTGCTAACTATTAATAATGAATTTTAACCTTGCATATTCTTGAACGAAGAGTTTAAAAAATGCTTTCCTTAAATTCTGTTTATTATCTGTAATTATCTGGTCTTAATCCACTTTGCCTTTCTCTCTTACAGGAGTCGGAGGCTTTTCTCTCAAATCTCGTAGTAAACAAGACCATCTTTGCTAAAGTAGACAGGTTGGCCGGAATTATCAACTTCCAGAGACCCAAGGATCCAAATAATTTATTAAATGACTGGTCTCAGAAACTGAACTCATTGATGTCTCTAGTTAACAAAACTACACACCTCATAGCCAAAGAGGAGATGATACATAATCTACAATAGGGTTTTGATGCCCTTAATGCTTTTAGAAAAGAGTTCAAATTGGAAGTCAATTTTAAAAAAAGACTGTTGTGGTGTATATGTTGAGTTATTTTTTTTCCTGTTCTCAGCTCCTTTGTCTCAAATTTAAAATATAGTGAATATGTTTGAAGCCCCTTACAACCTTTCAACTCCCTGACTTCATTGTTAACTTTTCATTTGCAGTTAGTAAAAAACTATACATTTCCGTTGTCTGAGTGCTCAAAAAATTGTGTCGTAACTTACCCAAATGTTTTCTATCTTTGAAAACCTTTTTAGCTATTACTTGTTTTCATTCAGCTAACAACTATAATTATAATAAAAGCAGTATACGCACGTTTATTTTCTATGATTACCTGTGTTTCAGAACATTTTATGGGGTAGTAGTGATTTAAGTGTTGTTTTTTTTTATTTTTCAAAGGACCGTTGGTTCTCCCTCTCTCCTCCTTCCCCTCTAAAGATAAATAAATAAAATATTTAAAAAAAAAAAAGTTTTTAAAATAAATTCTGTTGTAAATCTATGAATTATTTAGTAGAATTTAAAAAGGAACATAGAACATACAAGAACATTCGGAATAGAGTTGTGATTTGTGGAGAATGTGTGTGTTAGTATGGTGGCAGAAGTTTCTAGACTGTGTGTATGGAGGAGTTAACATGCTAGGCTGTAGACTTCTTTTCTTTCTTCCTATTTCTTTCTTTTTTTATCTTTCAGTCAAACTGGTTTTAATCACAGCAGCATATTTTTACCCACTATCCCGACTTGACCAGTCGTTGACAAAATCGAGCGATGTTGTACTGGCACAATTTAACACACAGTCATTTTTATCAGACTTTGTGGCTTTAACTTATAGGTCTGATTACATTATTAATACTCCCAATTCATTAGTTCCTTTGAACACTGGATAATAACCTAACATACTTTTTAAAATGACCCTCCAAAAGACCTCAGACCATTCACTTAGCAAATGGTAAAACTGTATTAACATTTTTTCACAGAATTAAACAAAAGTAGTTTTATTGTCAAAAAGAACATCTGAGATCAATTAACATAAGCAAATTTTGGAAGTTTTTAAAATTTGATTTACTCCAGAGAAAAGTGAAAAATGAAACAATGTTAGAAGGCTATTCAAAATTATGTTTAAATGACTAAAGTATGAGGCCTACTTTTTCGAAAATACAAATGTAGAGAGAGGAAAAGCATTTCTCATAATTAATTTTCCATGTAATGGTCACTAAATTGTCCTATTTCATGATCCCATAGCTGGGGACAGTTGCAGGTCCTCGACCATTTATGCTGAGTCACTGTGAATAATAATATATTAATCTAATTTTATTTTTTAGAAATTTATTGGTCACATTAATAAAATCAACATCTGCTATCACTTATCTTTAAAAACTAACCAAAAATGTGGCAAGCTCAGAAAAATTAGTTCACCCTAGCAGTAAGAATATGGTTTTAATTTTCTTTTCAATGAAAAGGATAGAAAATAAAATTATTTTGTGTTGTTCATTTGCAAATCGAGTTGGAGCTCATTTGAGTTTAACTTCCCATTACCTTCATCTTCCTAGGGGCTCATCCCCTTTGTATCTGCTGAACCTGACTGTTGGGCCAAATCCGTTGCTGCGAAGACCTCAGTGCCCCTCACTGGTTTTTATCAACATGCTCACCCTCAGCTAAGCTCTTGGTGTGGTCTGATTTGCTGCCGCTTGTAACTCTGTCCCAGTGACCCAGTCCCACTTGACCTTATTAACTGCCCATCTATTTTTTTTCTGTCCAAGAATATTTAAGAGTTATTACCAACTTTTGTTAGTATTTCAAAAAATCCATGAGCCTAAGGCAGTAAAATACTTAAGATTTTCATAACCTAAAATCCTGTCTTACATTTCAGACCTAAAGCCATCATTCATGAAAAGGATAGAGCCCCTTTATTTTAAATGTGGAGAAGATAATACTTGATTCATTTTCATTTTTATTAGGTTACTAACCAGCAGGAGAGGCGATAAGCCTGTTGTTTGTTTTTTAAGACACCTTAATTCTTTTATTTCTATATAACATATTTTATTTTAGAGTTCAATAGCTGTTTCTGTAATTATCCTCAATTTTCATGTGCTTATAGCTGAATCATTGGAAAACTCATCTTTAAAATTTGTAATGTTTCATTCTCTCACAAGGATGAAATATATGATAGATGTACCTTTGTTAAATTTTCGATTCTTGAACATAGCTACAATAAAAGCACTGATTTATGGGTATTTAAGAAAACCGGGAGAATAAACTCATACTTTAAAAGATTACTTCTCTTTTTAATTCTCTGTTTAAAACAAAAAGCCATAGATAACTTTCAATTTTTTTTTCAAAATCATGTGATCTCTAAACCCGTTTTTCAGTAGTGGGAAAGCATTTTGCACGGTAGGTTCAAACATTACTTATGTGGTTGGCTTTTCCCCTGAATTCTGTCTGATTTAGGATTGGCGACAGGCTGTGCCTGCGTGTGCTCCTGACCAGTGATTGTCCAACTCTTCGCACGTCAGAATCACCCACAGGGCCTTTTACAACTCAGACTGACCCACCCGAGTCTCTGATCCAGAAGGTCTGGGTGGGACCTAAGGATTTTCATTTCTAACAAGTTCTAGGGTGTTGCCGATGCGGCTGCTTCCACGAACCACACTTTAAGAACCATCCCTCCTGACCACATGCAGTAGATGCTAGAAAAGAGCTACGTTGGATTAGCGAAATATTTTCCTGAGAAAAAATACTGAGTGAATGTGCTCATGGTGGCGCGGCGTGATGCTTCTCCAGTGCCTTCATTCTCTCCCCTGAGATGCGGGGAGACGCTCTTGCTTTTTCGGTGGGTGAAAACATTGCCCCAGACTTGGAGCTCGATAATTACAGTGTTGAAAGAATTGAATGACATCTCGAAATTTGCAGAAGTTTCATCATCTTGCTATTTTTTCTCTATAAGTTTGGGAGCCCTGTTTATCCTTTCCAGGCCCCAATAACTTCATTCTGTCTCTGACTTTGCCTACTGTAGGTATTTTGTGTAAGGGGAATCATACAATGTTTGTCCTTTTGTGTCTGGCTTATTTCACTTAGCATAATGTTCTCCGGGTTCATCCATGTTGTAGCATGTATCACGACATTTCTTTGTATGGCTGAGTAGCTTTCCATTATGTGGATGTGCCACATCTTGTTTGCCTGTTGATGGTCACAGGTTGTTTCCACCTTTTGGCTATTGTGACGGCTGCTGCTGTGAACATGGATGTCTAGTTCTGTTTTCAGTTCCTTTAGTTAGATCTACGTACTGGTTTTTAAAAAATAGATTCAGCCCTGGGTGATGTGGCCCTGTGGATTGAGTGCTGGCCAGAGCCACTGGTTCGACTCCCAGTTGGAGCACGTGCCTGGGTTGCAGGCCAGGTCCCCAGTAGGGATTGTGCGAGAGGCAACCACACATTAATGCTTCTATCTCTTCCTCCCTTCCTCGCTAAAAATAAATAAATAAAATCTTTTTTAAAAAATAGATTACGGAAAAATTGAAAAGATTGTGCAGAGAGGTTCTTTGTACCCTTCACTCAGTTTACACATTGACTTTGAAAACCAAAAGGATGTGTATGTACAAAGGAAGGCTGTGGTAGACCAGAGAGGGAACAGTTCTTGGCAAAGTGGTTAATATATTTTTTAATATTTTATTTATTTATTTTCAGAGAGAGGGGAGGGGGAGGAAAGAGGGAGAGCCATATCAGTGGGTGGTTGCCTCTCATGTGCCCCCCACTGGGAACTGGCCTGCAACCCAGGCATGTGCCCTGACTGGGAGTCGAACCACGATCCTTCGCTTCACAGGCTCGAGCTCAGTCCACTGAGCCACACCCGCCAGGGCTGAAGTGGTTAATATTGTAAACTTATCCCAGTGAACAGAAGGACAGATTCCACAAGAACTGTCCTCCTGTACCTGCTGTCAGGGAGGTCCGCAGTCACTGGGGCAGAAACCACTCGTGATCACACGTGTCAGCTATGTCGAGCGTGTATTGTGTGTGTGAATCCCAGGGAGCGATGGCATGAAAGAAGGCGTTCCTGTCTTCATCATAGGTAGCCTAGGATCTGAAACCCATGAAGGGCTTTTTTAAAAGATAAACAGGGGAAGGAAGGAGAGAGGGAGAGAAAATCAATTGTCTTTTGTCGTCCCCCGGCCTGCAACCCTTTTTTTTTAAGTTTTTAGAACCAAAAAAAATCTAAAGTACATCTGACATTACTGGGGCAAATAAAAAGAATTATTCAGTGTGAATCATTAAAAGTAGAATGAATCATTTTATTTATACATCCACAAAAAGACATCTGGTCCAAGTTTTCATAAACTTTATTTTTAGGCTGTAGCAATAATGTTCTCAACAGGGGAAGCTTTATATAAAGAAGGCAGGAGCCATGGGTACACCGTTCCTTATTTTCCCTGTGTTGCTGTACATGCAGCCTTCCTTAATATGTTATGAGTACCAACTATGCAATAAAAATCATCTAAGTTTTTTTTAAGCCTTTATTTTTAAAAAGATTTTATTTATTTATTTTTAGAGAGATGGGAAGAGAAGGAGAAAGGAAGAGAGAACTATCAATGTGTGGTTGCTTCTCACACACCCCAGGACCTGGCCTGCAACCCAGGCATGTGTCCCAACTGGGAACTGAACTGGCAACCCTCTGGTTTGCAGGCCACACTCAATCCGCTGAGTCACACCAGCCAGGGCTCATAATGTCTTTTAAAAAATGCTTCAACGTCACTTGAAAGTGTAGCAAGTAAAAAGGTTAACACAATGTGATCCAAACGAATTTTACTTGACCAAGATTTTAGTATTACATTCATTTAAAGTTCTGAGTATTCAAAGGATTTGATAACTTTAAAAGAGCTAAGTAACCAAAAGAGCAAAGAAAATGTCAGGGTGGAATAAGACGTTTCTTAAAATGCATATCATGTTTGCTACTGCCAAGTGCACAGCAATGCCTCACTGCAGAATGCTCAACCGCTGGTTTCCTGGTGCTTTCACATCGATTTTTATTGTGTGAAGAATGCAAGGCAGATACTGTATTCAAAGTGTCTCTCCTTAATGGGAGCGCTATACAAGACCACAATTCCCTCACCTTTTAGAATGCAAATCTCAAAAAAAAAAAAGGATAATAGGATAATGTGATTTTCTTCTGCTGTCAGTACTTAGGGATTACAAATCACAGTTTGGAAATGAGTTCTTCCTCTAAGATTGAGATAATACCAACATATTCTGGACCAGAGCAGATAAGCAAATACATAGTGGCTCGTGGCTGGCAAAACCTAAGAAGGTAGGTAACTTTCAAGAGGACATCTTTTACAGCTA